AATGTCTAACCGTGCATCATTGGCCTCATATGCCAAGAGTATTCAGTAATGGCAGCAAAACTTTTGGGGTTTCCAAATACAAAAATAAGAACCCCAAATCTCCAACCTGACTCCCCTGTCCTCTGGCCAGCTGCCTCCTCTTACCTTTGGGCCACAGTGGCCCAATGCCATGGTGGGTAAAACTGAGGCCTGCAGAGGCAAGCAGGGAGAGTAGCTACTGAGTCCACGCCCACCGTCCATGCTGTCTCTAGGTCCCACTGATCCCATTCTGTTCTTATTTGTTCATTTATTGATTTCTTGGCTGTGTGGTCCATGGGATATGTCAACACAGGGCCTCCCTACATAGCCCTGGCTGGCCTGGAAGTCATGGCCATTCTCCTGCTTCAACCCCTCGAGTGCTAGGGTGTGAGATGTGTACCAGCACACCCTGGGTCTCCATGGAGAAGGGTAGGCTGCGCGCTCGGCTGGTCCTTGGCACCCTCTCATTCACAGGTCATCACCTCTGCCTCGGTTTCCTTAGTGAAGAGTGGGTTCCAGGTGACTTCGGTGGCGTAATGGGTGTGTCTGCTCAGGGGAGACTTCAGACTGCCCCCAGCGCTGAGTTGTTGGTGCCCAGGGCCTTGCCGGGGTGGGAGGAGGAACGTAGACAGGGCAAAGACCCTTGAGCAGGGCTGTGTAGAGCCAGCCTAGAGGTCCGTGTAGACAAGGACTGTGAGCTTCCAGAGAGACTCACAGCAGGACTGGGCTGGTGGGGGAGATGTGTGGTCGCGCCAAAGGTCCAAGCCCCTCCTCATGGGCAGCTGGGAGAAGGAAGTGTTTGAGTGGCTGTCCTGGTCGGGACTTTATGCAGGCGAGACAGGAATATCACAGCTATTGTTTGGATGTTGGTTGTAGACCTTGTTACAAGTCACGTATTTTGTTTTTCCAGACAGGTTTCGTTGTAGCTTTGGTGCCTGTCTTGGAGCTCTGTAGACCAGGCTGGCCTCAGACTCACAGAGATCCACCTGTCTCTGCCTCCCAAGTGCTGGGATTAAAGGCGTGTGGTACCACTTCCCGGCTGCAAGTCTTGTCTTATCCAGAGCCCAAAAGACAAAATACAATAGTCAAGATCCTTGGTGTGGGGCTGGAGAGATGGCTCAGAGGTTAAGAGCACAGACTGTTCTTCCGGAGGTCCTGAGTTCAATTCCCAGCAACCACATGGTGGCTCACAGCCATCTGTAATGAGATCTGGTGCCCTCTTCTGGCTTGTAGGCAGACATGGAGGCTGAACACTGTGTACATAATAAATAAATAAATCTTTAAAAAAAAAAAAAAAGATCCTTGGTGTGGAGAGGATAAAGGCTCCTGGAGCCCTGAGACAGGTGAATGACCACACAGTGTGGTCTCCGTATACTGGAACAGGGACAGGTGAATGACCACACAGTGTGGTCTCTCCGTATACTGGACTGTTACTTAGCCAGGAACTGGAGTGGGGTCTCCCAATACACGCTTGCAGTGAGGGACCTGCGGACACTGTGCTCACTGAGACCCAAGCACAGAAGGCCTCACAGTTTGTCACAGTGGCCCACCCCAACAGGCCAACACGGAATGTGGTGTTTTCTCTCGTGTGGTGAAATGTTCTGGAACAGATAGGTATGTGATTATGTGTGATCTCAGGTTTTTATGATAATGTTTTTAAATGGGTGGGGGTGGGCCAATCTCCATCATCTGAAGAGAACACCAGGTCCCCACATGGTTTTGAAACTCCACATGGGTGCTTGGAACTGAACCCCAGGTCCTTTAGAAGAGCAGCCAGTGCTCTTAACCTCTGAGCCACCTCTCTGGCCTGTTTGTTTTGTTTAGAGGCAGGGTTTCTCTGTAGCTCTTGCTGTCCTGAACTAGCTCTTGTAGACCAGGCTGGCTTTGAACTCAGAGATCCGCCTGCCTCTGCCTCCCGAGTGCCGGGATTGAAGGTGTGTGCCATCTTTGACTGCCACCTGGTCAAAAGAAGCTGTTTTAGAAACTCCACACAGAGGAGGGGGGTGCGGACAGGTAGACTCAGTTTCCTCTCATTTACTTGTTCCTGCCAGTCTGGCAGTGGCTTCTCCAGGGCCTTCAAGGTCCCCGTGTGTGTCCCCAGGTGGCTTTTCTGGGTTGTCCCCTCACCTGGGGCTGGAGTGCTGACTCAAATCTGATCTGCAGTTTCTGATCACTAAAGAGGAAAACAGCTTGAGTTCCCACAACAGGCGTCAATGTGGCCTTGGAAAGCCCCTCCAGCCAGGTTGTTGGGGTGGCTACACCCTGTGTTCCCAGCACTGCTGGAGAGAGTCAGGATTGCTTCAGGTAAGGAGAAAAGAAAACCCAAACTGTCCCATCAGGTGGCATGCACCTATCACAGGACCCAGGGTGTCAAACTCAGGCCACAGACAGTCCCTCTGTCTCTGTTGTCCCCAAACTGGGTAACTGCAGGGAGCGCCCATCGTGGTACCAGGCCAGGCCCTCCTCGAATGTCTTTGTTCCTGGGGTCCACCCCGCCTGGCACCCGTCCAAGGTGGGGCCCTGTGGACTTTGGAACCCTGGGGAGCTGGCAGGGGGCCTGGGCTGCCACAGTCTGGGGGACAAAGGTTTTCTCGGGGGCCCTCACACATGTACACACACAGAGAACAGCCTTTTTTTTTTTTTTTTTTTTTTTTTTTTTTTACTGCCGGGGACAGCAAGGGCCCCTTGGCTCTGAGGACACCGCCCTGCCCTGGGCCCTTGTGGGAAAGGCCCTGGCTGCCCAGGTGTGGTCAGAACAGAAACCTACAGATGGGATATGACCATGGGCATCTGGGCCCCAGGGCCAGCCAGGTCTGGAAGGGGGTGGTTGTGGTGTCCACTCAGGTCTGTCACTCCAGCTCTGTCTCAGAAAAGCCAGAAGACCATTGAGAATGACAGCCGAAAGGTCCCCGTGAAGGAAGAATAAGAGCAGGCACTCTGGAGACAGAGGAGGCAGATCTCTTGAGTTTGAGGCCAGCCTGGTCTATAGAGCGAGTTCCAGGACAGCCAGGGCTACAGAGAAACCCTGTCTTGACACCCCCCCCCCAAAAAAAAAAATAGATCTCCCTAGTGAGATCAGAGGGGCTGGACAGTGTGATCCAGGGTCATGCTCTTAGGAAGGAAGTGTTTGGGTAGCCTTGAAGGGGAGGTGTGCACCTAGGAAGTGCCTGCTTTTATCCCGGCAACCTGAAGCAGAGTGGCTGTGGGTAACCAGGATTACGTGGCAGGGAATGGACCCCACTGTAAGAAATCGTGCATATTTAACGAGCATTTATTAGACAACTGTTGTGTGCACAGGCCAAAAAAAAAAAAAAACAAAAAACCTCAGATTGCTGGGCTGTGGCTGGAAGACAGGCCTGGACACTGTCCTCAGGAGCCTGCCCTCCAGGGTGGGATGCTCCCCTCCCAAGGTCAGCCAGGAGGGCCAGATATCCATAAAGGGGCTTTTATGGCCTGTCTTTGTGTTGACCCTTCCCCCACAGGCAGCTGGGGGATCCCCGTGGGTCCCCCTTTATGGCTTTGAATTGATGTCCTGTCCCTGCAGACATCAGTCCCTCCTGTTAGTATGGCATCCATGGTGTCCTTCCCTTGCGATGCAGCTGCCCACCGCATGAGACTCAGTTTCCCCAAAGACACAAATACTTTGAAACTCAAGATAGAAGTGTTATTTTGGGGGGTGACGGTTGTTTTGAGACAAGGTCTCCTGTAGCCCAGGCTGGCTTTGAACTCACGACCCTCGGGCCTCGCCTCCTGAATGCTTGCTTGACATGTGTGTGCCACAGAGACACCTGGTTTCTGGGGTGCTGGGGGTTGGGCTAGTGCTCTGCCCTCTGAACCTTACCCTCAAGGGCCGCCTACACTTTTTTGCCTGTCAAGGAAGATGAGGAAACCGAGGAAGGAGGCTCTGATGTTGTCTTGTGCAGGGGACCAAGCCCAGGAGGGTAGTGGACCCTGGAGACTGTCCCTTATCAAGGAAAGGGTTCATGCCAGGCTTTGAGAGTTGGGGGCTCTGCCCGTCATTTGCCCATTCATGACTTTCCTCACCCCGCCTAGGTAGCCCCTCGAGGAAATCAAATTGTAGAGTGAAGCATTTATTGAGTCATTGCTGTTTATGGGGCACATCCACTCGTGGATCCCCATTCTCCCATGCTGTGTACCCCCCAGTGAAGACAGAACCCCCTTGGGAAGGCACAGAGGACTCCACCCAGAGGCCCCGTGCAGGGAGGGCAGCCTGGAGAGGGAGAGCGGCCTCCCTGAACTTAGGAATGTGGGCTGGCCAGTCTGGCGCTGGCTGGCCCGGGGTGGGGCGCAGACAAAACCCGGACAGTTGGGCAGCTGGCAGCTACGGCCACCCAGGGCAGAAGGTTGCCCACCCTGTCCACGGTCTCCATTGAGCAGATGGAAAAGCTGAGTCCTTGGGGGCAGTTGTTGTTGGAAGGATGGTCTGGGGCTGGCCCCGGCTGCCCACCCTGAGGAGCCTACCAAGTTTTTGGAGACTAAATGGTGGCTCCTGCAGACCCAGGTGTAATTGGTGGTTTCAAGGTCCCCCACAGTCCAGCCAGCTGCATTCCTGGTAGTTAATTTGAGGCCTGGTATTCAGCTGAGCAGTCTCATTATCTCCGCCCCACTTCCCCGGCTAGTCAGTCAGTCCCAGGACCCTGAGGCACCCAGGACACAGTCCTGTGACAGCAGTCGGTACCACAGCCTGGGTGGGCAGAGGGTCACACTACATAGGAGACAAGCCAGGGGACCCCGGGTGCCCCGCAGAGCTGTCACTGTCTCTACACCTCAGTTTCTTGTGGGATCATGCCCAGAGCTTCTAATGAGGGAGAGGAGGGAAGGACCCAGTGCCCCCCCCATGGCACACAGTGGAGGGGGTCAGAACTGTCTGCAGCTTGTGTGGGTGGTTGGGTGAGTGCCTCCCTCCCCCTGATAGGGACCGGTCCCTTCATCCTGCTGACCCATGCCCACTCTGTCTGCAGCTCTATGAACTAGACACGGACCCCAAGAGGAAGGAGTTCCTGGACGACCTGTTCAGCTTCATGCAGAAGCGGGGTGAGCACCTCCCAGGGCAGGAGGGGATGATGGGGAACTAGGCAGTCCTCCCATGAGGGAATGCTCCCCGAACTCTGTGACTGCCCCCAGCTTCAGGTCGATGGAGACCCCGGGAGACTCAGTCTACCTTAGGATGGGACAGGCTAGGTCGTAATCTGTGTTCTAAGGAAGGAAACTGAGGCCCAAGGAGGGTCAAGGCTTCAGCCACGGAGCAGGAAGGGGTGGAGGGGACCTGAGGCCAGCCTGGGCCGGCGCTGGGGCCCAGCTTCTGTAAACACACGCCCCCAGGCCTGCCCACCGGAAGGCAGGGAGAGAAGAGGGTACTGTGGCCTCTGAGTTAACCCCTCCATGTGAGGGTGGGGCCTGCAGGTCCCTGTGGGTGTGGGGATGACCCTGTGCTATCCGCAGAATCCAGTCCTGCTGCCCTTCATGTGGCCAGAGAGATCCCCCCCCCCCCCAGTTATCTTGAGTCCCCACCTGCCCTAGCCCGGCACACAGCAGGAGGCCCCCAGCTGCCTTGGGACCTCAGAGCTGACCCATCTTGTTCACCACCCCCACCATAATGGGGTCAGCAAGGCCAGGGACCTCAATGCTGTAGTGCAGCCACTGACAACAAAGGGCCAGGAAGGTCTCATTTACCCCTGCCTCCTTCACCAGGTCAAGCACAGACTCCTGGGTATCCCTCAAAACCCCAGGTCCACTGCCATCCCCTGTACTTTCTTCTGAAGCCTCAGTTTTTAGAGCTGGTGTTCAATCCACTACCCTCACCCAGTCAGCACAACCTACCGCCCACGGGTCCTTAGGAAGGGACACAGGACTCCTGATGTCAGAAAGCCCAGAGCTTGAAAGAAATTTCCCCCAGAAGTCTCTGGAGATGGGAAATGGGCAGAGGTGTCCTGCCTGTACCCCTGGCAGGTCCTCCACCCTTCCTTCACCCCAGCCTCAGCCCTCCATCGGGCTCCTAGACTTCTGATAAAGTTCCTCTTCCACCGGCTGAGGTTGGCCTACCCACCTCCTGGCCTCCCTTTATGCCTGAGCTGCGATCATACAGGGTGGTGGGTTTGAGACCTCACCAGAGCTGCCCTGGGCTCCCCTTGGTTCCCACAGGGAGAGGCAAGAAGTGGCTAAGCAGGGAACGCCACCTGAGCTAGTCACAGACACGAGTTACTCTGAGTTGGGGACATATGAAAATTCTCTAGGAGTCACCAGATGGTGGTGGTGCACACCTTTAATCCCAGCACTCTGGAAGCAGAGGCAGGTGGATGTCTGTGAGATTGAGGCCAGCCTGGTCTACAAAGCGAGTTCACAGCCAGAGCTATAGAGGCTGTCTGCGGGTGGGGGGACTCTGGAGCAGGGCCTTGTCTGTAACGGACTTGGGAAACAGATGTCATAGGAGGAGTTTTGAGAGGCGAAGAGGAGTCCAGAGCGTCACTAGATGCAAGATGGATGTTCCAGCTTCTTAAACTGAAAATCCTGCTAGCTGAGCCCTCCCCACCCGCACTGGAGTCTGCCACGCTCTGGGGATGTTTGAGGAGGAATGGAGGGCTGAGCCAGAGGGCTCTGGGGATCTTCTGTGGTTGTTTAGTAGCTACTGTTGTTGGAGACCTGGAGAGGGAACTCCAGGGAACCCTGGAGTCTCCTTTGTCCCCAGCAAGGCCGCCATCCCCTGCCCTGAGGCAAGCAGGGGTTGCCCAGGGTGATGCTGTGAGGGGGAGTGTGTCTGTCCTGGTGTGGAGTTGGGAGGCTGGGATGGCCAAGGACATTTCCCAGGATGACCCCCGTGACCCCCGCCCTCAGCAGCTCCTCCCTGTCCTGTAGGCACACCAGTGAACCGGATCCCCATCATGGCCAAGCAGGTCCTGGACCTGTTTATGCTGTATGTGTTGGTGACTGAGAAGGGCGGCCTTGTGGAGGTCATCAACAAGAAACTGTGGCGGGAGATCACCAAGGGGCTCAACCTGCCTACCTCCATTACCAGTGCTGCCTTCACACTGCGGACACAGTGAGTGCCGGGCTACACCCCGAGATAGCCCACCACCTCCTCCTGGGATAGCCCACTGCCTCCTGAGATAGCCCACGACCCCCTGAGATAGCCCATCTCTTCCTTCTGGGATAGCCTACCACCTCCTCCTAAGATAGCCCATGACCCTCTGAGATAGCCCACCTCCTCCTCCTCCTGGGATATCCCACCTCCTCCTCCTGGGATATCCCACCTCCTCCTCCTGAGATAGCCCACCTCCTCCTCCTGAGATAGCCCACCTCCTCCTCCTGAGATAGCCCACCATCTCCCTCCTGAGGTAATGCATCCCCTCCCTGAGCCTGTGGCAGGAAGCCACTCCCCTGGTTGTCCCCAGTGCCATCCTGTCCCTGTCCACAGGTACATGAAGTATCTTTACCCCTATGAGTGTGAGCGGCGAGGCCTGAGCAGCCCCAATGAGCTCCAGGCCGCCATAGACAGCAACCGCAGGGAGGGCCGGCGCCAGAGTTTCGGGGGCTCGCTTTTCGCCTACTCACCCAGTGGAGCCCACAACATGCTGTCCTCACCCAAGCTACCAGTAACTTCTCTGGGCCTTGCCACCAGCACCAATGGCAGCTCCATCACCCCAGCACCCAAGATCAAGAAAGGTGAATCATGGGAAGGAATGAGGTTATCCTTTTATTTATGGTAATCGTGAGAAATGTAAATTAGCGGGAAAGGGAATCAGTCCCAGCTCTCCAGTCCCCTGTCTTCTGCCCACAGCAGACATTACTAATTGAGTTCTGGTTTTCACGTCGCCATGAGGGCAGTCATTATGAGTTGAGCACAGCACACTTTCTAAGCCCAGCATTGTTAGTCAGTGGTGGCATGGGTCTCTTGTGCACAGCAAACGTTACTAACTGGTCACCACTCTTTCCTTCTGTCCCCTAGAGACCTCTGGCCCACATCAGACTCACCAGACATGGGCAGAGTGTCTGTCATGATGCTTTAACCCTTGAAACAACCTAACTCTAGTGCCGAGTACCCTCCACAACTCGCTGATGCTTTCTGAGCTTGGCTTACCTGTCAGAGAGGCCCGAGTCCATGCTTGCTTTTATTTCGAGACAGGGTTTCTCTGTGGCTTTGGAGCCTGTCCTGGAACTCGCTCTGTAGACCAGGCTGGCCTCAAACTCACCATGCATTCTTATCTTAATAAGAAAGCACCTATTTTAGCTTTGCAGTGGTGGCGCACGCCTTTAATCCCAGCACTCGAGAGGCAGAGGCAGGCGGATCTCTGTGAGTTCGAGGCCAGTCTGGTCTATAAGAGCTAGTTCCAGGACAGGCTCCAAAGCCACAGAGAAACCTTGTCTCAGAAAAAAGAAGAAAGGAAAGAGGGAGGGAGGGAGGAAATCCCCATTTGCGTAGATGTCACTAGTGGGGTTGATGATGGTCTTCTCTGCTGAGGCTCTTGAATTCTTCCCACCACGCTCTGGGCTAGGGCAGTAGCTCAGTGGATAGAATGCTCGCCCGGCGAGCCAGAACCCTAAACGCCGTTCCAACAGCAGATTAGCGTGGGGTGGTGGTAGACACCTATGAAGCTAGCCTTGGCTACAGGGGAGCAGGGAGTGCAGGCTTTGCGGAGTCCCCTCCCACCGTGGTGGAGGCCAAGCCAGCTGTTCCCCAGGACCCTCCTGACCCTTTGCTCTTCTTCTGTCTAGAGGAAGACTCCACCGTTCCCATCACAGTCCCAGGCCGCCTTCCTGTGTCTCTGGCAGGCCACCCTGTGGTGGCAGCTCAGGCCGCTGCTGTGCAAGCAGCAGCAGCCCAGGCAGCTGTGGCGGCCCAGGCAGCCGCCCTGGAGCAGCTCCGGGAGAAGCTGGAATCCACTGAGCCTCCAGAGAAGAAGATGGCCCTGGTGGCTGACGAGCAGCAGCGCCTCATGCAGCGAGCTCTTCAGCAGAACTTCCTGGCCATGACAGCCCAGCTGCCCATGAACATCCGGATCAATAGCCAAGGTACCCTGAGCTCGGAACCCTCCACATTCCATGGGTGCCTTGGACCATTCTATGTAAAGAGTCCTGGCAAATCAATCAGAAAAAGGTCCTCTAGGGCTAGTACATTCATGGGAAACTTGAGTCTGTCCTGTTGGGAAGCTGCTAGTTTCAAGGAGGTGTAACCGTCCATTGGCCTTTGTTGCACATGGAGCCCTTGGGGCCACCTCAGTGGTGCACGTCTGTTAGCCCAGCAGGAGGCTGAAGCAGGAAGATGGTAAGTTCAAGGCTAGCCTAAGCTACATCGTGATAACCGGGTCATAAAAAAATAAATAGCAAATGAATAAATAAAATAACCCCATCAAAAACTTTAGTACAGTCCTATAAAGAAAGCAGACAGGAAGCAAGCCGCTCCCCAGGGAAGTGTACCTCTGACCTGAATGACGGCTCTCTTGTCCCGCAGCCTCCGAGAGCCGCCAGGACTCAGCTGGGAGCCTCACCAGTGCCAACGGCAGCAACAGTATTAGCATGTCAGTGGAGATGAACGGTATCGTGTACACAGGTAAGCACGGGGTCCCGCTGCCAGCACCTGGTCCTGCTGTCGAGGCTGCTTTCTCAGTATAGGGCACCTGTGGGAGTCGGTGTTCTCCTTTCCCTAACTCAGGACATCCAGGTTGGCAGCCAGCGTCTTTGCCCACTGAGCAAATCCTACTCATTGGTCCTCATCTTTGTTTGTTTGTTTTCTTTTTTGTTTTTTTCAAGACAGGGTTTCTCTGTGTAACAGTCCTGGCTGTCCTAGAACTCACTCTGTAGACCAGGCTGGCCTCGAACTCACAGAGATCTGCCTGCCTCTGCCTTCCGAGTGCTGGGATTAAAGGCGTGCGCCACCACCACCTGGCACATGCTGATCTTTTGAGTCTGGGTCTAGCCAGTGCACCTTGGTTGGCCTTGAACTCCCTCTGTAGCCCAGGCTGGCCTCACCCCCTCCTCTACACTGTTCAGTTGATAAGCCCAGCCCTGTGACATGTCCCCCCACTTTGTCCTTGTTTCAGGGGTGCTGTTTGCTCAACCACCGCCCCCCACACCACCTTCCGCCCCCAGCAAAGGTGGCATTAGCTGCATCGGGACCAACAACGCCGTGGGTAGCCGGACAGGAGCCAGCGGCGGGACCAGCAGCGGCCAGGTGGGGCTGGCCGGGGTATCTGCGCCCCCCACATCTTCTACCTCAAATAATTCCTTGCCTTAAAGGAAATCAAGTTGTATTGCTTGCCCACCCGCCATGGAGACCACATAGCCACACAGGGACCTGGAACATCGTAAGAATTCCAGCGGGCCGGGCAGATTCCCAAGGAGCCACACTGACGCCAAAAAGGAGAAAGAAATTTATATATATACATATATAGAGAGCTAGATAGATAGAGAAGCAGATTTAATAAATCAGGGCAAAGAACACTTGAATCTCTCAGGTTTTAGAGACTTTGAGAAACGGATTTCACAAGGGCCACAAGGCACCTCAAAGCTGAAGGAGGCCACCTTTCCAGAGGCTTCCATGGGGTCCGGCTTGACCAACCCGGTTCAAGCAAGTCTATTTACCTCACAAATCCCCCGCACTGTGCCCTCTCTCTCCTTCTGGGAAGGCCGGGATGATTGTTTGTTTCATTCTCCTTGGAAGCTATGAATTTTTTTTTTTTTAAACAAGATCTCAACATTCAGATGCAATTTTTTTTAAGGTTTTGGGGTTTCCAATTTTGTAAATATTCTATTATATTCTTGAGGGCGGGGATTGGATCTTAGGAAGAGTCCTATCTGTATATCTATATATTTGTGTTCATTCAGGGAAAAGGACAATTTTTTTTTTTAAGCAAAAGTACCAGCCATGGCCCCCAGCCCCTGTCACCACAGAGCCCCTGCGGTGTCCTGTGGTAGAGTCAGGCAGTGCTGGCTCTTGGCAAACTCCACAATTCTCTCTAGTCATGCTGGGCCCTGCCCACTGGCTCCATCATTCAGGGACCTGGATTGCTTACCCAGGACACAAAATCTTCTAGAAACGGGTAGGGGGAGCAGCACACGGAATGCAGTGGCCTCCTGTATCTCAGGGATGAAGATCTGGACTCTGCCTGGAAGGGTTGCTTCTAGGGGAGATGGGGTGCACCAGGCCTAGCTCAGGGCAAGGATTCTTGCTGAGACACGCACAGTGCACAGTGCCTCTTCCTGTCTGTATCACTCTCCCCCCGCTGCTGGGACAGCAGTTGAATGTGACCAGGAAGGTTCCTGGTCTGGTGTGTCCATGCCACAGTTTAGCTAAACTGAGCCCTGTGGCATAGTCTAGTCTGTCGTCCTGGCTGCAGGGAGGGTGAGGCAGGAGGATGAGAGTTCAAGGTTATCCTTGACTGCTAGTGCTGGTTGAGGCCCACCTGGGCTACTTGAAGCCCTGTCTCAACAAAGCAAAGTAAGATGAGAAGGCCAGGGCACACCTAATCCAGCCCTCTGTGAGTAGGCCAGCCTGCTCCATACAGTGGATTCCAAACCACGAGAACCTGTCTCAGAGAGAAAGAAAAGAAAATGACATCTCATCTCTCTGGAACCACCAGGGCAGAAATGATGTCATCTCCCGCTGGATTGGGGGACCTTTCCTGGACTCTGCTCTGGTCACTGTCCCCAAGGGAGCTGGAACCTGCTTGTCCCTCAGCCCCAGGAGTCCTGGATCCCCAGTCACCCCATTAATATGTTTTGACTGTGGGGAGCAAACCCTCTTCTTTCCTGTCTCAGGGTTGTTGACACCCCCTCCCATCCTTCTAGGAGGGACGCCTTGCTCCAAGGGGAGAGGAAATCTCAACTTTTCCTTCTGGAAGCTTCTGCCTGCCCCGTTTTGGGGCCACTGTTAGCCGCACAATCATTCCTGGTCACAGGTGTTGAGGGGGTTTTTGTCCCCTTCTGACAGCTTTGTGCAAAGTCAGCCTCCGTCTGTGAGTACCTGACTTGGGGTGACGGGGGTCGCCTTGGTGGCCACATCCAAGGCGTGTTTCTACCTCAGGTCTTTTGATGCCAAAAAAGAAAAAAAAATGCAGCCGGGTCACCCACTTTTCTGATCACCTGCTCGAGTCCACAGTGGGGACCAGTGTCCTGATGTCCACTTTTGTCTGGGTCTGTGAGTGGCCAGAAAGCACCCAATCCTAACTCAGGGGACCTTGCCCACCAGGGCTGTGCGATTGTAGAGGGGTCCTCTGCTGGACACACTTGGCGACCCTCCATGGTCAGGTCTGTGCCTCAGTTGCCTCACCCGGCCCTTGGCATGTGGTACAGTTGGCGCTTGTTAGGCAAGCTGGAATGGGGACAGGGCTGGACATGGTCACTGTCCGCCTGGCACCGCAGGGCGAAGAGGGTGGAGGCAGGCCAGACCCCCAAACTCAGGGCTTCTAGAACCTTCCCGGGGACAGACTGTTTCTACAACTTTCCTGGTGGCCCTTCTGCTGGCCACCAGGCTGTCTTTGTCCAGCAGTAGTGGGTGGGTGGGCATGGGGCTTGGGGACAGCTGGGTTCGTGTTTTCTGAGAGTTATACATCTGTATAGTCTTGTGGGATTTTTTTTCCTTTTTTGTATCATTTTTACACACTTCTTTTTTTTTCCCACACCCCACATAATTTTGGCTTTTGTGAATTTAATTTTCCTTCTGGGTGAAGGTGAACTGAACCTGCTTGTTCAGAACATGTGAACTTTTTGGTTTCTTGGGGTGGGAGGGGCTTGTCCGACAGTGTGGGGTCGTGCACCAACTCAGGTAAAATGAAAAAAAAAAAAGCGGATAAAAAAAAAAGGAAAAGTAAAAACTGCTTTCTACCTCTCACACCAGGCCACTGTGACCTGTGGTGGCCACAGCTGTGCGGGATATTCAGGAAAGTTCCCGCCAGGCTGGCCTGCTGTGGCCACGGCTATGCGGGATATTCAGGAAAGTTCAGCTATTACCAGGAAAACTCAAACACAGCAACAGCAAAGGAAGTGTGATTTTTGAAATTATTAAAAAAAAAACACTGAAAGTTTACATTTTATGACCTTATTGTGGATTGTATTTAAACTTCAGAAATATTTAACGCGATTGTAACCCTGTGAATTGGTAAGATTAAAAGAGTTAAGACACTTGTATGAAAGAGTGGCTCCCTGATGGTTTGGGGCTTTGGGGGGTTGATGGGTTGCGTGGAGGGGACCCCAGCGGACATGAGTGGCCAGCAGGACTGTGGAGGACAGGCTGCCCCAGCCAGTTCTCCTTTCGCCTGAGGTCTGTATGCCGTATGTGGTGGGTGCTTCCCACTGTGTGGGTCCTGGGAAGTGAACTCAGGTCGTGAGTGTCCCTGCCTGCTCAACCATCTCCATGGCTACTGTTTCTTTTCTTGCTTCAGGAGAAAAATAAAAATAACAAGCCGGGACTGTAGTGGCACACACCTTTAACCCCAGCCAGCACTCAGGAGGCAGAGGCAGGCGGGTCTCTTGAGTTCGAGGTCAGCCTGGTCTACAGAGCGAGTTCCAGGACAGCCAGGGCTACATAGTATGACCCTGTCTCGAACGCCTCCCATTTACATTTGGAGAATTTTATACAATGTATGTTGACCATTTTCTTTTGATACAGGGTCTCACTCCACAGTCCTGGCTGGCCTAAAACTCAGAGATGGGCATGCCTCTGCCCCCCAGGTACTGCACCCAGCCTGACCTGTGTCAGGACCTCTCCAGAGGACATTCCCCGCTCCCACCTGGAACCATTCTCTCTGTCCCACCCTCAACTCACCTTGGGACGGCATCACTCTATCTTTGTCCCTTGGGCTAGTTGCACGTGACACACTTCTCTGTCCCCAGCAGCCAGGTGGAGGCCTCCTGGGAAGCCAACTAACTCCCCAGGCCTCCCCACCCCCGCCCATGTCAGACACCTGTCACCCCCAGGGGCCAGAGCTCCTGGCAGCCTCCCCAGCCCCCAGCCCTCTCTCCCAGACTCGGTTTTACTCCTGCCTTAACCTCCAGAGGACTGAGATCAGAGGCCTGTGCCAAGTGCCACCACCGCTCCCAGCTTGACGCCTCAAGGGTTTGAGTGGAGAGAGGATCCCTGAAGGTCAGTCTCACACCCAGGGGACTGGGAGACTGAATGACTCAAGGTAATTGAGGCCAGGTGAACAGGTCCAGACCGTGGCCACGTGACTCTCATCCTGCCTGCTCTGGCCAAGTCTGGCCCAGGCTGGTCCCTCCCCAGGGACTGAAAACAGCTGGCTGCCCCCTACTGCCCCTGAGACCTCCTTCTGCCCCTGCCCTGCCGCTGCCCAGGGGACAAGGACCAGCAAGATTTCTGTATTAGCATCTCTTGGGAGACTCGGCGGGGCTGACAAGCTCCAGAGAAAGAACTGAGCATCCCTGAGTGTCTCACAGCCGGGTCCCATCCAGTGACCCACAAAACTGTTCTGAGCAGACCTCCCTCCTCTTGGGGGTCCACTGTCAGCTTTTCTCCCTGAGGATTTCCCAGATGGTGAGCTGGCTTGTGGATCCCACAGGGAGAAGGTGGAGGCTGGAGCTGGGTGGGTGCTGGCAGAACAGAGCAGGAGAGCTTCTGTATGGGTGGAAGGCTCTAAGGATGTCTGTCCCTCAGTTTCCCCTGATCTGGATCCTCCATACCTTGCTGTGCCCTGCATTTTCTCAGAGGTCTAGCAACTGGGTGGTCCCGGATGCCCAAAGTGTGGCTTTTGTCCTCAGCTGACACAACTGGACTGTTCTCATTCCAGGGGCCGGTGGGGGGGGGGGGGGGCTAACCCCTAACCTCACAGTGCGCCTGGGAAGGGGAGAGTAGCCAGGTCTCCACGAGGGAGGCCTTCCCCAGCTGCTGACCAGCCGGCTCTGTTCCTGTCTGGAGTCCTAAAATGGAGATTAAGGAAACTTGTAGGCCTGACCGACCCAGATAAGGATGTACCTGAGCCCTGAGGCTCACGAACTTGTCACTGCTGGGTCTTCTAAGCAACCTCCTTAGGGAGGCCTGGATTCCTACAAGGGCCTCACCCACTGCTCACAGTTGACAAGTGGAACTCAGGACCAAGTTCAAGCCCCAAGTTGGCTCTTGGCACCTCCACCCTTCTTTCTGCTGAGAGCAAAACCCAGGCCTTCAGGATTACCCCCTATATCTTTCATCTTGAATGCCTTTTCTTAAAAATTTTACACAAACCGGGCGGTGGTGGCGCAGGCCTTTAATCCCAGCACTCGAGAGGCAGAGGCAGGCCGATCTCTGAGTTTGAGGTCAGCCTGGTCTACAAGAGCTAGTTCCAGGACAGACTCCAAAGCTGCAGAGAAACCTGTCTTGAAAAACCAAAATAATTGACACAACCCGTGTGCTTGGACGACACCCGTGTCACCGTGTCTGCTTTCTGTGGTGCTAGGGGTGAGCCCCAGGGTTTTGTGCATGCTGGACCCACCCTCTACCACCTGTCCCCACCCCTTTTCTCTTTGTGAGCCCAGGTTATTTTTAATTACAGGTGCATGTATTTATGTGGGCGTACATTCGCTTGCATGCAGGTGCCTTTGAGTGACAGAGGCGTCGGATCCCCTGGTGGGGATTTGTGAGCCGCTCGGCACGGGAGCTAGGAACTGAACCTGGGTCCTCTGCGGTAGCAAGGGCTATGACCACCGAGCCATCTTCACATGTCTCTTCCTTTTATTTTAGCTTTATTTCATGTGCATTGGTATAATGATATCAGATTCTCTGGAACTGGAGTTACAGACAGCTGCAAGCTGCCGTGTGGGTGCTGGGAATTGAACCCGGGTCCTCTGGAAGAGCAGTCAGTGCTCTTAACCACTGAGCCATCTCACCAGCTTCCCACATGTCTCTTCCTAGTCACACTTTAGCACTAAAAATTGCTGTGATCTGGGTCCCAGGAAGCTGAGGCAAGACAATCTGACGGGGTTTTTTAATAATTTAATTTTATGTGTATTGGTGTGAGGGTGTCAGATCCCCTAGAACTGGAATCACAGTTGTGAGCTGTCATGTGGGTGGTGGAAATTGAACCTCGGTCCTCTGAAAGAGCAGCCAGTGCTCTTATCCTCTGAGCTATCTCTCCAACTTTGAGAATCTGGAGTTTAAGGACAGCCTGGGCTACGTGAGTCCTGGGAAGTGAATTCCCTCCCTTCCACGAACCACTACACAAACACACAGGCTGTGTCCTTCGATGCTTGCTTGCTCCTCCTCTTCTTCTTCTTCTTCTTCTTCTTCTTCTTCTTCTTCTTCTTCTTCTTCTTCTTCTCCTTCTCCTTCTCCTTCTTCTCCTTCTTCTCCTTCTTCTCCTTCTTCTCCTTCTTCTCCTTCTTCTCCTTCTTCTCCTTCTTCTCCTTCTTCTTCTTCTTCTTCTTCCTTTCTTTCTTTCTTCTTCCTTTTTTTTTTTTTTTTTTGTTTTTCGAGACAGGGTTTCCCTGTAACTTTGGAGCCTGTCCCGGATCTCACTCTGTAGACCAGGCTGGCCTCAGACTCAGAGATCCACCTGCCTCTGCCTCCGGAGTGCTGGGATTAGAGGCGTGCTCCACCATCGCCCGGCTCTCCGTAGCTTTCAAAGGCAGCTCCACATCCTCGACTCTGCCCCAGGACTTTGTTCGCGCCCTGTACAGCACCGTGTTTCCCTGAGTCTCATGCTTCAAGCGGCTGCCCCTTGAGGATCTCCGCGTTCTCCACGTCCCCGCAGCTTGTGCCTGCCATCTGGTGGCCACATTAAGTGCCATCCTCCACCGCAACTGTCTCCTCTGCTCGGAGGACGCGGAGTCCCAAGTTGGCACTGGCATGCACCTCCCTCCCCTGGGAGGCCCAACAGTGGCTCAAAACCTGAGCCGTGCGGCCCCGGCTGGTGCAGCGCTCCGGACAGCCACAGCTGCAAGATTCAACAATGGCATCCGTTCTTTACTAACAGCACATTAGCAAAAAAAACAAAACAACAAAACCCCTTGGTTTGAGACCTGGCCTACGGCCAGCAGGCTGTGACCTAAGGCTAAAGGCTGTTTGGCTGGAGATTGACTTGTTGGGTCTACACCGAGTGAACCAAATACAAATGTGAAATTTATGACGCCAAAGAGGAAAGGTCAAAGAGGAGGCGAATCAATAAAGGATGTGGTCAATCAGTACGTGTTTAATCACCAAAGCGACGCCCTGGCCAGACGTGTTATCCTTGGTGTGTATGTAACCTGATCTTACATGCAGTAACTAATTTCTTTCGATCTAAATAAAGCATAAAGGTCTTTTTTATATATTTTTGCCTTAAAACAAAGTTTAAAAAGTAAGCCGGCCATGGTGACAGGCTTGTCATCTCAGCACGCAGGAGGCTGAGGCAGGGGAACTGGTCGAGGACTGGAGTGTCTCAAGACGAAAAAAACAACTGTAAAAGTTTGACTCATTTGAGCCCAAACACCCAGCAGAACCGGTGAAAATCTCTCTGCATAGCAATCGCCTCTGATCTGAGGTCCTAAACAAACCCCGCGAGCAGTCAGCGGGAGCAAGCACGGAGAGCGCGCGCGTGCGCGGAGCAGCTAGTCCCCCACCCCCGAGGGCCCGCGTGGCGGGATCCCGCCCCCTCCGAACTGGTACGCTTGCGCAGCGCAGGGCATGCAGCTCCACCCCCTCCACACACACACACACACACACACACACACACACACACACACACACCCCCCCCCCCCCCCCCCCCCCCCCCCCCCCCCCCCCCCCCCCCCCCCCCCCCCCCCCCCCCCCCCCCCCCCCCCCCCCCCTCGCTGCGAACGTTGTAGCGTGCGCAGAGGAGCTCCGCCCCACGCGCTTCAGCGCCACTCTAGGCCTGGAGGAGCCAGGGAGCAGCGGAGAGCTCGGCCTCCTCGCCACGACGAAGCCACCACGCATGCGCGCGCTCTCCTGTTCGGCCGCTAGGAGACGCTCTAGCCAGCCAGGAGAGTCTAGCTAGGGATGACGGGATTCAGAGGCGGGGCTGCCCGTTCAGTATGGCGGCGCCCATGGAAGTGGCGGTGTGTACGGACTCCGCGGCGCAGCTCTGGAGCTGCGTGGTGTGGGAGCTTCATTCGGGAGCCAACCTGCTCACCTACCGCGGCGGACAAGCGGGGCCGCGGGGCCTGGCGCTGCTCAATGGCGAATACCTGCTGGCAGCGC